AAATAGTGCTCCAAACTCAAATAAAAGCTCAAAAGCTGCTCAGCGCAATTGGGAAAGGCCTACGTACGGCGGGCGGGCGGTCGGTGTGCGGTCACGTGATTACCAAATTTTCTGGGATGGGTAGATTTACTAAGCTATGGGGCTCCGCCCGTGCGCGCGTAGAGCTCAGCTATCATAGCGTATACTGGACACTGTTATCATTACCCAGCTCAATCGTCGATTTCCACGTGGGCCTAATTTAATTCGAGAGGTAACTGCTTTGAGATGGGAGGTCTGAATCAACTAAATTCGACAGTTTCAAGTTGAATACGACTTTGTTGAATCTGCGACTGAAACAGTCGACAATTCTACTTAGGTTCAACATTTGATTTAGAAGTCGCATTTCACATGTGCCGAATACCATGCATTAATTATAGAAACCCTTATCCATATTGGATAAAAATGTTTTCTAGAGACTGGGAATATTTACAGCAAACGGAGTTAAATTCGGCACCATCATATCCGACGTGTGAATAAACTGTCGTATTTAATTACTTTCATCGACTAAAATAGGTGTTCTTCGGCACTCATAAGAAATTCCAGGTTTGAAAGGGGCCTAACATGACATAACATTGCAGGCTGTTATTAGGTTGTTGTTTTCTTTTCAGTAAGAGCAATTCGTATCTCTCTTTGTAAATCCATTTTATTAATCGGCTTGTGCCGCGACTTAAGAAGCGGTTGATTTTACTTTCTCTTGAAATGATTTGTATGTCACTGGACATGATTTGTGTATCAAAAATAGCGATCAGTATTCATCCATCCATTTCAATAAAAGCAAATGAAATCACTTTTCACAATAGCGGACAACCTATAACCGTGACTTCGTCGTATAAATATGCGGCACCGAAGAAAGACGAAAAAGCCAATCCTTTTTGATCAAATTATTTGAAGGTTTAAACTCGAAGCTTTATATAGTGTAAAATAATTATAATTTACTTTTACCGGTATCACTTGTAATGATAATAATAATAATAATAATAATAAACAATAATAATACTTTATTAAACTCTTCTCAAATTGAAAATTAAATACAAATTCAGTATAACTACAGTTAAAAATGACTTCTTGGTGGTCTGGTGGTTTTCAACAGAGCAAATGTCAATAACTGTCTATAATCTAAAAAATGAAAATTTCTATGTACATCCCAATGATAAAGTATCTGTAGCTGTTGAGTCTAGGAAAGTCCAGCTTGACCCTTGTCTATTTCTAGATCCCTGTCCTTAACATCTAAGGACATCTACTATAATAATAATAATAATAATAATAATAATAATAATAATATGTCCTTAGGGGCGGTTCGAAAGAGGCTGAGCAAAATATAAAAGAGCTTGTAGGAGACAAGGGTGAATCAATTATGCGCCAGATGCAAAAGACAATCCTGTCTTGTTCATTACACATTGCTAGAATTTTCAAGCTAGGCGCTAAGATATCAATAGGAATTCTGGACACCTATTTTAACAGATACTTAATCTTGTACATTATCGAAAGTTTATTTATATACCTTAGACGTTCCCACAATTAAATGGACAGCTATATGAACGATGGCTTTTAACTTATGAACATTTTTATTTTGTAATTAAGACGTACATAAAGCTTGTAGGATTTATTTATTTATTTATATATTTCTTTTTTATGACACTTTTATCAAATCATTTTTACCCAGGTTTTATTTGCGTTAATTGTTGTGTAATTGTTACCACAAATTTTAGTCGATGCTGCGGCTGGTTACGGGTTGCCGCCCAGCCAAAACGTTTATTTTTTGCTCTGGGTATCCAGAAATTTGTACTGCCATAATAATAACAATGTTATTTATGTACTTCAGATTCAGTTGGGGAATTACTGACTAAGAAATAAGGGAGGATTCTATCTTTTGTTAAGTACATGAAAGTGACACTTGTAAGATCATATGCCAAACTTTGGCGTATTCATATTTTGCAAAGAAACTCGCGTGTTTTTACCATAAGATAAACTTCATGACTGTTTGTCTAGATGTCTTCAAATGACAATGTGGAAGAAGACTTGAAAATCACTGACGTTCAAGATGTTGGTGAAATTCGGAGGGAAAAGCTCGATTCAATATTGATGACTTTAGCAGCCATGGAAGAAAAATTTACTACGTCCTTTAGGGGAACAAAGGATGCTGTCGAGGATGTTGACAGTGAAATCCATAAGCGTATCAGCAAATCCGAAAAATTTGTGGAGGGAATCCTCTGGAAATTCACGAACCTTGAAAATCACATTATTGACGAAATACATGGACGTCCTAGAAGGAAATCAATTTATGCAAGCACTGAAGTCGCCTCCGTGATGTCGGACTCTGTTTTACGTCGCGATGTACAAGACTTGTGCGAACTAGACAGCACTGAAGAAACAAAGACCGATAAGCTACTGAGAGAAATAAAAGATAAAATAGATCAGCTCGAAACAATGATGGATGAAAAATTTAATGAAGTATCTGAGGCAATTGAAAAGACAAGAACAACATCCCTGTTACACGGTAAAATACAAGAAATACAAAGGGAAAAGGTTGAGAAAAGATTCCACGAGCACGAGGAGTTCATTAGAAATAACTTACTAAAGCTTCTGTGACGTTGAAATATGCAGTGCCAAGCATATCAAATCAAATTATTGTAAACTTTACTTTACTAGGTTAAGTTCAATTCGAAACAAAATGTGTGATCTCTTGAAAATTTTCTAGAGCCAGGGTGGTCAGACACCGAATTTCCCATGCAATGCACCTAATTCTAATAACGTAGAACAGTACATTCGATCTTGTATGTTTAAAATTCGACGTCTCTAACAATCGATATATAGTCCAGAAACTGTCTCTTTTATTACAGACACAAACTGTGGGTTAACTTCGACGTCCTTCGCATCCTTTGTTTTCCTTTCCCCAAATTATTGGCAGCCCATCTCTAGCAGTACGTCTCTTCTTTCTTGTATACCGGTATTTATCATCATTGCTTTGATTGGCTCTCACTTTCGATTGTTATCGTTATTGTTATTATTTATGTGATTATTTATTCAGGAACAGTTTTGTAAGTATTTTTACGTCGGTTTTGCTCGTTTAAGAGATGTAAAGACAATGAAACTTAATTTCTAGCGTTTTTTGAACAAAAAAAAAAAAAAAAAAAAAGCTGAAAAGGAATGGAATGTCTCGTACAAGGGAAAGGGAGTAGGGGGAGGGACCGGTTAGGCCGTTTCCATGCGCAGGAACTTGCGCAGGAATACATTAACGTAAAGGACGTCATGTATGGCATTAAGATAGGATGATGTCATATCTTATTTTGAGTTGGCAAGGAGCAGGTGACGTTAGGCCGTTTCTGGCGTTGCTAGCCAATTGCACCCCTTATTCCTATTTTTTAATAGACGTTCCACTCATTAGGTACTAGAATGGGGTTTAATTTATTTAAGAACCAAAAGAGTAAGGGTTTACTTTAGAACCATCTGATGCTTTCTATAGAATTTTTATACCCTGTACAATACTTTCTACAGAGTCAAGTAAACAAAGATTGACATTTTTGCTCGACCGGCAGTATTTCACTTCGCTGCGCTTCGACCTCGTTTTCATGTTTTGCCCGAAAAATTAGTACGATTTCGTTTTCGTCTAACCCCTTGTTTCGCCCTATTGAAAAAATATGACATCATCGTGACCAAGTAGGGACATGACACGTCTGTATTCATAGATTATGATCTCAACATTTTTGATGAAGTCAACCCCTAGGGTATTCTGACGTCACTTGCTCCTTGCCAACTCAAAATAAACTATGACATCATCCTATCTTAATGAGATGCATGGCGTCATTTGCGTTAGTGTATTCCTGCGCAAGTTCCTGCGCATGGAAACGGTTAACCTGAGATCAGGCCCAATTTGAGCGGTTCTCATACATTCTCTTTAACGGCTACAGCTGAAATTGGGCCTGATACAAACTCATTCACGTTTGTGCTCGTTACAGCCAGATTTTGGCCGTAACGCTGATTGGCTGTTAGAACGATGCCACAAGATCTGATCGGCTGTCGGAAACGCCGGAAGTTGAAAGCTCTTATTCCTCGCGTGGCTGTTTTCGTGAATGATCCGTCGTCGGCGAAGAGAAGGATCGATTTTGCTGTCTTTTTTATTGTTTTACGGTCTTATGGTACGAAAATATGCCTTAATATGTGCCATGGAAATTCAGAAAATTCATATGGTTGTTCATATCTTCTCAGGATTTGCTTTATTCACGGAAAGTGAGTGTATCGTGGAGATGAATCCCTCTGCAAGTTGTTGACTGCTAACAATGTGCCTTTTGATTTACCAACAAACGGGTGCAAATCAAAATACTGTCCATCTCAAAACTGGTTTCATTTAAAAGTTTAGCCGGGAATGACTTCTCTGAACGGGGTACGCAAGCGGAGGCTCACTGCGAAAGAAACCTCAATCGCCAACTGTGAAGTATTAGACGAAAAATATCGCATCGCTGTTCAAGGAATTTGTTTGTGTAATCAAATGGTGACGAGTGAAATTAGGGAATAATTTCACGCGCGTTTGGTCCAAATCCTAATAATTTCAAAAGGCTCGGAAAATTATTAGGATTTGGACCAAACGCAAGTGAAATCATTCCCTAATTTCACGAGTATACCATTTGATTACTTTTTGATATCATGGGTGACGAATTACGTTAGCAATCTTGGATTATTGACATGTTTATCCTGGATCGTATCGATCGAGAACTCCACTCAAATGTTTAGACCCTAAATTTGGCTTATAAAGTTCAGAGTTTTTCAGCATTTTTCGGCAAAATACCTGCTAGAATCCTTCCTGATGTTCTCTTGTGTGTTCAGCTTTTCTAAAGCGTCTTTTTGTGCCCTGACATCTTCATTCACCGCATTTTAAAACTTCGTCGCCATCTTGACACTGAGACGTACGGAAGGGTTGCCATGGCAATTTTGTAATTTCACATGTGAAATTACAAATTAACGCTGAAATTTCGCGCCAAAATTAAGGAGTAATTCGTCACCTATGATATTATCAGTATTAACAGACTGGTTGTTTGCCTTCGCTTTTTGTAAAAAATAAACCAGGAAAACTGGTGTCCTCGCTCGTTGGCTGTTTGCTTTTGTTTTTAAAGATTTATGTACTGAAAATCGGGGGAAATTGCCGAGGAAAATATTAAGGCAACGGAAAAATAGAAATTTCAGTATTTTAAATTCGAGCGCGCCTAGCCAAAAATATTAAAACTAGTAGAACATCGTGTCGCCGTCTTTTCGAAAACTTTTTACCTTCTACGCCAACGGAAATAACCTTCGAGATCCCCCTTAATCTCGCAAGAAGTTAAATGTGATTGTGCTGACTGTTTTATTTTTAGCTGAAAAAATTAACAGATAAAAGCTATTTTTTAAGTCAGCCAGTCTGCATTTTTCCCACGCGTGAAAAATTTGCATACTAGAAAAACAAGCAGCGGAAGTAATTTTGGTTGACTGATTCGGCAAATGTCAATCACTCAAAAAAGTGGGCGGCAGACGTTTTGTAGAAGGTTTGTATCAGGCTCTCTTTTCGTTTCGCCATGTCGGCCCAGGCGGAATGCTCGCCGGAATGTTATTTACAAAGCAAAACGAAAATAGAGCCTGATCTCAGGTTAGGAAACGGCCTAATCGGTCTCTCTCCCACTACTGAAGGGGACGCCGCTGTTGGTCTTTACATTTGTAAATGAGTAAAATGTAGATTTAGCTGAAAAAAAAAAAAAAAAAAAGACTGGGCTACTGTTGAATAATAAGACTAACGTGGATTCGTCCCTCGAGCAAGCTAAAAAAAGCTATCCAAGCATTCGGTTGCATGTCTTGCAGAATTTTGCGTAAAATCTTAACCTCCTCGTATATAGGTAAGTGCGATATATTACATCGACTTAGATGTAGGGGCAAAACGCCCGGTATTTTTATCTGAGCAGGCGAGATGGTCATCTGATATTTGTGTGTGGATGCCCTATTTTGACAGCTTTCAATTCATCTATATGGATGGCGTATTTTATATAAACCTTGGTGAAGGCCGGGAATTAGCCTTGAGCGTTACAATAAGTTACAATTAGTAAGATATAGCAACCGTGGAGGATGCAAGGGTGTGAGAGAAGGAAAATGAGAAATTTGAAAAGTAACAAGATCTTGAGAAAGAAGTTGGAAAAATGTGGGTTGTAAGGACAAGGGTGATTCCGGTAGTATTGGGGGCATTAGGATCATTACCTATGATAATATTTTTGTGGGACAGACCCATTTGGGGAATTACTGAATAAGTAATAACGGAGGATCTTCTATAGTTAAGGTGGCTGAACACAGTTTTTGCAGTTTGTGAATATATGTCATTTGCCAAATCATGGTAAGAGAAAGGTTGCAGATCACCAGCTGAAACTTGGCAAGTGAAAACTATACTGATAAAAGATTTTGATTGACAGTTAAAATGTGACGTTTCCGTAGTTTCCATGGGAACATGAACGATTGAATCTTTCAAAGGTGTGGTTTAAGTCTTTCGAAAACTTCTTCAGATAATTTTCAATACGGTCAGTTCTGCAGCTTGCATCGTGTATGTAACCAGTCGATTAATCTGTACATTCAAGTATCTTCTTTATCCCTCTCTTGTTGCTCGATAAATCGTTCTTCAGCAGTTGAAGGTCATTCTGTATTTTAGCTTTACTTTCTTCAATTTCTTTGATATCTTTGCATAGACTGTTCAGAGTATACTTCTTACGAGTAGGTTTCAAATTCATCTTCCCCTTTCCCTCCTCTTTTAGACATTATAATACTATTTTGTTCTTAGCTGACAGAAAACGTGGCCATCTTGCTTGGTGACCACTGACCACTGACCACTAACCGTCCCTCGTTTATGTTAGGTCAGTCGCGTGCTAAGATTTCTCCCGGTTTCCCTGATGTAAGCAGTCTGGCAGTAGCAGCATTAATAACAAGGAAGTTACTTTAAAAGAGGGTCTGAATGGAGGGGGGGGGGTCAACTTGTCGGTTGTCGGTTAACATTCGGTTACTTTGTCGGTAGTCGGTTAAAATTTTCGATTTTTGTCGGTTGTCGGAAAATCTCAGTTAACAGATGCTGCACATCTATACCTTTAATGTTTTGGCTCTAATAAGCATGTCCTTTGCCATAATTTCGGACGTACAAGGGGCGCGTGTGTGTGGGTGTGGGTGTGTGTGTGGATTTTTCCGACAGGGTAAAACATCAGCACCTGACGTTTTCAGTAGATGTTTGTTTATCCCTCGCACGCATTTTGAGACAAGTGATGTTCAGTTTCTATGGTTACGAGGTATGACGTAATAAGTAGCAGGTGGTCAAGCCATTTGGACTGAAAATCTATGTTTTTTTTTCAACTTTTTGCAACAATAAAAGAAAAATCTTGTAGCTAAAATCATGCAAAGTGCTTATTTATGTGTTATTATTCATGTCAAGCAATTACCATTTCTCGTTGTTTTAACCTGATTTCTAATTCTTTGTAATATCCAAGATGGCGGCAAAGATGGCGACCAATGTTGGTGACGTAACAGGCCTCCAGCAGCGCCACCATTCATAAAATATACCTCATTCTTGTTAAGAAGATCAAAGGCTTTTCAGTGAAGGCAAAATCGCTTCGAAATACTACAACATATCAAAAACTCTGCGGAGGGTTTCCATCTACCATCCTCTTGTACCGTATTGGGGGGATGATTTTGCGTGTGCGTCCGAGGGTTAAGTTGGCAAGGTAGTGGTTGGTTTTGCATGAGATTACACTTTTTCATTAAAGCTTCTTTTATAATAGACACTAAGGGCTTGTATTGTGTCACGAAAGGCAATATTTCCTTTTCTTCCTTGTTGTTTTGTTTTAGGAGCGCTGCTTTCCTTCTGTGAGTTTTACTTCTAATAGCAATTTTTCTTTCAAAATTGTGTGGCCAGCCTCTATCCATCAACCGCTTTTTGAAATCTGAAATACTTCCTCAGAGGAGTTTGTTCGTAGGATGCTCAAGGCTTCTTGCTTGTCAAATCCATTTTAACGATTGGTGGGTGGTAAAAGGTGAAAATGCATATACTGAAGGTTTTCGTTTAAAATGCGTCTTTACGTCAATGATAGCTTTTTATTAATTTTCGTTGAATGTTGTGCCTTGGTATACAACCGGGTCTAAAAAGATTGACTCAGTGTCAGATATTTCGGCCGTAAATTTTATAGCCAGTAGAGCCGTAGGGTGAAGTAAGTTTACTTGTTCCGTGAATTTGAAGAAATCTACCATGTCTGGTTTACTTATGTCCAATAGGGAAAAAATATCATCTATGTAGCATTTTCAAACAGTTGGTTTAGAGACGGTTTTGCTTAGACTTTGTGTTTCAATATATACTGCCATGAAAATGTTGGAAAGGAAACTGCTGTATGTGCTTATCGCGGTACCGTGGTTTTTTACTGATAGTGCTTTCCATTACACTGGAAAGAATTTTCTTTGAGGATTAATCTAAGCATTTCTCGGACCGAAACAAGAAACGTTCAGTTTTTTCACCTTTGCCTTTTCAATGAAATTTATAAAGTCGGTAGCATCTTTAAGGTGTGGCTTCTGTGATTATGATATTACTTGTAGTAATGTACTCGTATCAACAAAAGAGGAAGTTCTTTCTGTTAGACTATCTGATGAGTCATAAATTTAAAGAGGTTACTTCCTAACGGCTAGAAAATAATGCAAAATGCTCTTTTTTCTGAAACAAATATTGATAATGTCAGCCCATGTCGGTAGGTCGGTTAATATGTTTCGTGTCAGTAGTCGGTAATTTTTTACTCGTTTTGTGGCTAGTCAGTAATATTTTTCACTCTTTGTCGCTAGTCGGTTAACCCCATTCACACCCTCTTGAAAGCCACATTTGTAAGATCATTTACCAAACTTTTTGCAAATTCACATTTTGCAAAAATATTCAAGTGTTTACACGGTAAAATTAACTTTATACACCGAATGCAAATATGGCGGACCTCTCGGCCGGCCCGGGTCTAGTTGCGCGAAAGCGAGGCTAGTTAGGCCTCGAGAGTTTTGTTTTGACTGCGCGTCTTAGCGATTGAGTCGATCGATATGGTTTGCATCGAGTTGTTGCATGCCTGAGGGCCACCAAAAAGAAGATTTTACTCTAGCTGGAATAGCCTTTACTTCCCCGAGATCTTTTCTCAAAGAAACTTAAGGATTCATGCGATTCGGCGCGGCGATGGGAAGCACTTTACAGCGAAACTGTGCTCGCTCACTTGCTTTAGATGAGAAGACTCACGAAAGTATTTGAATGAAATAATTTTCACAAGAGATGGTGCTGTTCCAAGATGTTTGCATGGTCTGTTCTTCATCCAAAAAAAAGTAAATATTCTCGAGAACGGGAGCATCCGCGGTGGACCGTAAGATCTTTTAGATTTCACGCTGAAAACAGCTGCATTAAAATATAACAACAACAATAACAATCGCCTGTTAATCCTACAAGCGTGGCCTGTGAAACTGTGTAAGAACCAGAAGAAAGCGACATATTTCAAGAACAGTCCGTGAACAAAATGCACTGAAAAAACTAACGGAGGAACCGTTGCCAACTAAGAAAGTAAGAAGAAGAAAAAAGGTTCTAGAAGAAAAAGAGCGTGCAAGTATTCGAGCATTGTATTTGACCTTGCGCGTGATCTATTTTACCAACTTGTCGAATGGTTTCGAGATAAACTAACAGCGATTTTCCAAAAATTGCTTCTTTTATGGCACTGCTCAAACTCTTGAACACAGGATCGTGAAGACTGTGAAAAAGCATTCGCCCTTGATGTTTGTTGTTGTGTCCATGAGAGCGCCTAAAGATTGGTACGTCGCGACGGCGGATTCACTCGTTCTCGAGGATATTTACCTTTCCTTGGTAAGAAAACGGACAAAGCAAACTTGAAGCAGAACCATGAATCTTTCAGTTATTCACCCATTCTAATAGTTTCGTGAGGCTTCTCTTCTGAAGTGAAGCGAGCACACTTGCGTTCTTTTAAAAAATAACTCCGTGATAGTGGAGTGCCTCGATTCGCCGCGTCGAATCGCTTGAATCCATTTCTTTCTTCGTAAAGAACTTTGGCAAAGCGAAGATAATCAACTTTCGTCTCTGCTGGAGTTAAATCTCCTATTTGATGGCTCTTAAGCACGTAACAACTCGAAGGAAACCAAATTCATCGACTGAATCGCTAAGACGCGCAGTCAAAACAAAACTATCGAGGCCTCACTAGCCTCGCTTTCGTGCAACTAGACCCGGGCCGACCGAGAGATCCGCCATATTTACATTCGGTGTATGACTGTTTGTTTAGATGTCTTCACATGGCGATGCGCGAAACGACTTGAAGATATCCGAATCTGGCGAGCTTCGGAGGGAAAAGTTAGAGTCAATACTGAAGACTTTAACAGCCATGGACGACAAATATACTGCATCTTTTGGGGGAGTAAAGGATGATATTAAAAAGGTAAACGACAAAATCGACAAGCGCATTCTAAAATCCCATGCGGTTGGGGACAAAATCCTCAGCAACTTCAAGAAACTTGAAGAAAAAATCATTCTCTTTATACATGGATCTGGTAGAGGTGAATCACCTAAAGGTGATGAGTTGCATGCGTGCACAGCGAGCAACGCTGTTCTTCGTGAGGATATTGCTTACCTGTGCCAACTAGACAACACTGAAAACCCAACGAACGATGAACTACTGGAAGCAATAAAAACTAAAATGGAACAGTTCGAAACAACGATGGATGAAAAAATTAATGAAGTATCCAAGGCACTTCAAGAAACAAAAGAAAGGTCCCAGCTCCACGGTAACGTGCAAGAACAGTTAGAACAGAGAGTTGAGAAGAGATTCCGAGAGCACGAAGAGTTCATCAGAACCAACTTACTAAAGGTACTGTGAATAGAATCAATCTAAATCTTACTAGTCGGCTAAACGGACGAGAAACGATATCAAGTTTACATAATTAAGAATGTGTAGGATCATAAATAAACCAATTTGAAACTCTCCAAGATGTTTTCTTGGACATTTAATCCCACGAAATTCCGTTTTCAAAAATGTTATTGTTGTAAGAACCAATTCCCCTAAGGCTTGAGCAAAATTAGAAATTGTCGAACAAAACATTCGTTCATACTTTGTTATCTTATAGTAGTTGAGATGAAAGTACTCAATTTGCCACTTGTTTGTCTTCTAACACAAACCTACACTGATCAAGAGCATCGGGCGAAGGTGTGTGGGTAGTTTGGCCGAGAAAATGCATATTAGGGGATATTTGTCTTCGCCGCTATCATTATTTCGAATGAGGACATTAAGTAAGGCCTCTGGTTTGTTTCTTATAGTTTATATTTCTTTAAGTTTAAAGTCAGATATCGGGTAAAAACTATAATTATAACTGTTTTCAAAAAAAGGTGTGAAGTGACGGTAATTTATGCATAAATTACTGACCCCGGATACCCTAGCAAGAAAATCTAAAACGACGCTGTTCAAATAAAAAAAACATAAACCACCTTAAAGGGAGTTATGATAGATTACTGTACATGCCATTAAAAAAGGGATCAATGCAAAAATCCCTTTAGGGCTAAAGACAAAAGACCACAGAAGCCAGTGGTTCGTCAAGGTCCCATTTATGTCAATAGAGTGCATGTCGTCATGTACAAACCTCTTTCCCCATTCATTATATATTAACGCTAGAGCAGCGCCTGGGAAGCGGCCGGTATATTGTGTGAATAAGAAACCAGCTTTATCTTAAACAGTCTGTTGCACAAGAGGATTCAACAGAACAGCCTTCATCTTTCTGGTGAAGAAAATAACGTTTTTGCCCATCCGTAATTTGCTACATAGCCTGGGACCAGGCTCCTCAGTGGGGGGAAAAAGGAAACAAAACGGAGTGAAGCAGCAAAAGAAAAATCGACCACTCGTCAGGCTTTCGCTCAGCTTGCGTCGCTCGCCGAATTTTTTTCACCTTTCCCCCCCACTGTAGAGCCTGATCCCAGGCTAGTGGCTGCACTAAATTAGCAGGGTGTCAATTAACAAGGAACCTTAAGAGGTGAGCATTGAAAATGAGAAAAAGAGGTATGAAAGCGACGACATGCATTCTCGTTTCCAGGGTCTTTGCATGAATGGATAAAACCACTGAGCCGGCCCCGTCTAAATTGTAAACGCACGAAGAGAATTTTCAGCAGGTCGAGAATTCGTCCTGTGTGGTGTGAACGTAGCCTAAAATTAAACAAACAAATCAAACAACAACAACAACAAGAAAAAAAAACAGAAAGTTGTCTACGATGGTCAAAGTATTAGCAGAAAAAGGACATGGCAAAAGCTAGCTTAAACAATGTAGGATCAGTAATGCCATTGAATCTTATAACTCTTTATTTTCAGACTGAAGAGCTTGAGTTGATACTGAGTAGTTTGCAAGGGATTAAAGAAAAGCTTATTTCACCCTGTTGCGGAATAAATTCTGCTATTCGCGGTGTAGAGGAAGAGATCGACAAGGCCCATGATAGATTCTCTCGTTTTGCTGAAGAGATATGCATCAACTTTAGTAACCTTGAGGAAAGAATTATCGATGGAATTGAAGAGCGCAAGTTATCACTCAAGTTATCACCCCCAGCAGAAGAAGCAGTTTATTTGCTATCAATTGAAAAAGCTTTGCCAGAATCAGACATATATATGATCGAAGCAGGTTTAGCAATCGTTAAAATTCGGGCAAAAATAAAGGAGAAAATAGGCCAGATAGAAAAAATGATTGATGAAAAGTTCAATGAAGTAGCTAAGGCAATTGAGGAGACGGAAAAAAAGTCCCAGAAACACGGCGACGAAGAGGATGAGCTAAGGAAAAATGTTCAGAAAAGATTCCATGAGCACGAAGACTTCCTTCGAACAAAGTTACTTAAGTTATAACTTTAATCCTTTGGTGACGGTTGCCAAGTAACAAAAAAAACGCATTTTTCAGCAATTCCTCTTCTTTGGATTGGTTCTCGGCTAATTAGCATAAGAATGGCTAAAAATGAGTTTTGCAACGAAAAAGGTATATTTTCCGACTAACAGGACGTAATTAGACAGCTTTTTTGCTTCTCGCGCATGCGCACAAGTCAAAATTTGGACTTTTTTTGCGAAAAGTAACCTTGAGGAAAGAATCACAGACGAAATTGAAAAGCATAAGCGATCATTTGCAGAAGAACTTTGTGCAGGAAATTTTGACCAGAAGAGGATACTACCAGCCCGCGCTTTGTGGGAAAGATGGTCAGAATCACAAATACTTGTAGGAGGGGCAGGAGATTTAGCAATCGTTAAAATTCGGGCAAAAATAGAGAGGAAAATAGACCAGATAGAAAAAATTTTAGATGAAAAGTTCAATTTCAATAAAGTAGCCAAGGCAATTCAGCAGCCGGACAGGAAAAAGGTCCCTGCGACACAGTGACGAACAGGAAAGCTTAGGATAAATGTTGAGAAAAGATTCCATGAGCACGAAGACTTCCTTCGAACAAAGTTACTTAGGTTACTGTGATAGAAGGCATGCTAAATCTTATCTGATGTAAAGCGTATGTTTATATAGCTTTAATTGTATTACAAGTCATGTTGAAAATACAAGGCGGCGAGGTTGTTCTTATCTTCTTATGGTCACCGTTTTGTCCCCTCTTGTAGAACTCAATTCAAAATGTTACAACTTTTTTTAATAAGTGAGGAGGATATTTCGATGTATTCAGATGATCATCAAATCTTTTCCTCGGGCATGTGTACTGGTATTGATGAGGACAAGCTGCTACGTGAAGGAAATAAGGCGACTAAATGATATTACTGAAACCTTTTTCAAGATTTTCGAGTGTTCTCCCAACATTCCGCGTGGGTTATCACGCCGGTAAACCCATAGAAAGTGAAAATGAACGTTTTGATAATAATTACCTCCTTAGGTAGCATTGAATAATTATGTGTAATTAAACAATAGCAGCACGGAATTACTCCGTTCAACACAGAAGACCGCCCGGGGTAAGATATATGTTTTAGAATAAGCAAGAAGCTTCTAACTTTGCTTCGGCAAGCTGGAAAAATTATCTGTAACTGCTTACCGTATCGTAACATACCGATCCCGCAGATCTCGGTCTTATGAAGCGTAATAAAAGGTGGAGCATGTTAAAATCTAATTGATTTCAATCGGGTCATCGTTTCCAGTGTGATACGTATTGATTTTACACTTAAATGTGTTTGCTTGCAAAGACAATTCTTTCACTGACCAAGGTCTTTAAAAGCCAAGGTTAGAATTTAGACTGCGCGACTTGATATATTTATGAATTGGTGTTGTTTATATCGTGGACAAATAAGCCATGACTGAGGAAGAGGAAGAAATGGCAAACTGAGGCGTAAGAAATAAAGAAGAAAGGAAAAGGAAAGGCAGACATTGCTTTATTCATTGTTGTTACAGATTGATAAATATCCATCCTCGCAGAAGATAAAAACAAAAGTTTTCAAGCAAATGCTTGAAAACAGCCGTCCGTGGCTGTGTGCCACAAACGCATACTGGAGACTTCCAGGTAAACCTTGTTGTGAAATGCTCTGACAGATTCCCTATCCTTAAACGTTCAGTCTTCTAAAAGTCTAGTTTAAGGAAAGGGAATCTGTTAGAGCATTTCACAACAATGTTTATCTCGTTTACCTGCCAGGCTGCAGTCTGCGTTTGTCGCACAAGGCGTCCGTGAAGGGTTTGCTGGAAAATTAGGATCGGGGATCGAAGATCGAGGATTGGGGATCAGTTAAAAAAGATTACTCGAAAATGAAATATATAAATAAATCGTGGATACTAGTGATGTGGGCCCCACAGACTGAGAATAAATTTCACAGAACATTATCCCCGTTCGCTGTACTGAGCACTAAATTTAAGTAAATTACTCCGCGCCTGACTGATTCAGTGATTGTTTTGACGAGAAAAAGAATTTTTCCTGGAAAATGAAGCACTTTGTTCCAGTGATACTGCGATAAGTTATGCAATGTGTCATGTACACCTAGAGATGTGGAAAATCATTTGAAAAACCTAAACATCCACAAGTCTCCTGGTCCTGATTAATTGTCGCCTCATATCTTAGAGGAATGCGCACTAGAACTATGTACATCGCTTTGTAATCTATTCAACAAGTCGATCCACTCCGGTTCGCTACCCAGCGATTGGAAAATTGCACATATTATTGCAGTACATAAAAAGGGTCCAAAATATAAGAAGGAAACCTATCGTCAAATCTCGCTGACATCCATCATCAACAAAACAGCTGAGAAAATTGTAAAATCAAGAGTCATCTCATTTTGGACTGAACATCAATTACTAAACCCGAGTCAATTTGGATATTTGAAAGGCATATCGAAAGTGTCGCAACTTTTAAGCTGTTATAACGACTGGTGCTTATCACGAAATTCGTCAAAAGTGTCTGATGTAATATTTCTGGACCTTTCAAAAGCGTTTGACAGTGTCCCCTTTGGGCGCCTGCTTTTAAAGTTCAATAGGTACGGCATAGACGGGCAACGGCACCTGTAGTTTAGGAACTTTTTAACCAACCGAAACAAAGAATACAGATACGTGGATCGTATTTCGAATGGTCGCCTGTTATATCTGGCGTCCCTCAAGGTTCAATACTTAAACTGGGCTGATTATGTTCCTTATTCACGTGAACGACATACCTAACATCGTCACATCTACCGCCAAGTTGTTTGCTCACGATACCAAAATCTATCGACAGATAAATAAAGTGGAAGATTCTATCGCTTTACAATCAGATCTAACCACTCTCGATCTATGGGCGGATCGCTGGCAAGTAAAATTTCATCCTAGCAAATGTGAGGTCGTGAGAATCACTCATAATAAGAACAAAAGTACCACAAGGTACCAAGTTTCGGGTACGGAGTTAAGAAATGTATCCAATTATAAAGATCTTGGAGTTATCATGGCGAGTGACCTGACCTGGACAAAACAAGTTGAAGAATTAGTTCACAAAGCAAACAAGGTACTTAGCTTACTTAAACGCAAGGTGCATAGTAAAAATATGAAAAATTTTTCAATTTTGTACAAGACCCTCGTTCGACCGATCTTGGAATACGCTAGCCCGGTGTGGTCACCACATCTAGCCAAAGACATCCATGAAATTGAGAAGCTACAAAGGAGAGCTTCGCGAATCGCCCTAGGCCAAAGACGACAGGAAATGGCGTATGAGGACAGGTGTAAAATACTCAAATGGAACTCTTTAGAACGAAGGAGGGAATTTCTATCCCTGGTGGAGTGCTATAAGGTCGTATTAAATCTGAATGGTCTAAACTTCAGTGAATATTTTGAACTGTGCCGGAGCACTCTGAGACGAGATCCAACTATCAATATAAGATACAAACCAAACTCGAAAAATTAAACTGTTATAAACATTCCTTCTTTGTTAAGGTAATCAAGTTTTGGAACGATCTTCCAAGTAACGTAGTCAATTGCCATGATTGTCCAAATATCAACAAGTGTAAACTAAGATTAAAGAATCACTTGAATATTTATTGAATGGACATTCTGTACTTTGTTAATGATATTTCAGTGATTTTTATATATATTCTTATAAACTTGCTCTTATATAAATGTACATTTTTTATTGTTTTTTTTTTTTGCTATATTTTTGTAGTTTCTTAATTTAGGGTTACAGCTGGGTTTACTTTTTCTTAATAACAGTGCTTACTGTAACAGTGCTTGTTATTTTCATATAAAGTATTGTAAAAAAAAAACAGTCAAAAACACGTAAACTTGGTCACGTGATAACCAAATCCTAGCAGCTGTAAAATCGGGGAAATGGACGGATAGTATAAAAGAAAACGGTCAAAGGACTGGCTCCTGATCATGAATACGCCTGCATCCAACTTTATTTTTTCACGGTGACATATACGAGACTTGCGGAAATGTGACACAAGCCGTTCTATCTATAAATCTACTCGGGAAAGGGTTGACTCAAGAAATCAGTGGAGATAGGGGTTCCCAGTGAATAAAACCTGCAATCCCAGCCATTATCCATTCTTTGTCTGATTGCTTGTTTGTTCCCTCTGCTATCTCCATCCTCATTCTCAGGTCTCCTTTTAACAACAACCGAAAGGCATTCTGTCCTCGTTTTGAACCTTTAGGACTTTAATAATACCTTACTTATAATCAAATTACTGCAATGTACCTATTTCAAAATGCAGCCCTTCAAAACAGGGCCATTTAAAGGGCCTTAGGTTTAAAAAAAAAAAAAAAAACAAGAGCTTCTTAAGAAAATTACTCTTTAGATGTTATTCGATCTGTTAGAAAGCTGGTTTACTAACTTCGATAAAACGCTATTGAATCGTAGTCAACAGTTACCGGCACCGTACAAACCACTTATTGACGAAATCAAGCAAAACTAACTACGACAGAACGACTGAACAACTTACAATATTGTCCTTTCATTTTTTAAGAGTAAAGATTGGACTAATGTCGACAGCAATTCAGTGGTTTCTGCATAAATGCGTTAAATCGGATCCTGTTTTTTAAATTCACATTGTTTTTGAAAGTCTGAGCGTTTCTTAGCAAAGTCATTTGATTTTGTAATAAAATAATCAGAACAGAATTAAATTTCATCTGTTAAGTAAAAGAGGGTTGTTAGGTTAATTTTTCAGTGACAATATAAACTGTATGAAATACGTTAAATTGGATTCCCCTTGTTTATTTACATGTTTTCGAAGTTAGAGCGTTTCTTAGCAAAATGTTTTATGGATGTCATTCGATTACCTTTTCAGCAGAACCTTCCCTTCTCAAGAACAAAGAATACCATGCTCCGCTCGCTCTTCTTGATTTGTTAGTAATTAAAAAATAATGAATTCATACATATAAGTCAGGATATAGGTGAGGAAATAGGAAATTTAAGAAGCCATAGGTG